TAGTCAAGGCGCTCGAGCATCTATTCAATTTATTGCCAACCCCGGCCTGATAGAATCATTGATCTCTATCGTGATAATGCTGTCCACTTTCTGTTTCTTCTGTCGATTCATTCATCCAAATGGGCAGCTGCAAGACTGTTTGACTTCTTTGTAGATTTGGCTGTAGAAACAGCTCAATCTTTATTTCTTTTTGTTTCCTCGGGTATTTCTTTTTATTGAATATACAAAGATCTAATTTTCAGGAAGGGACAATCAAAGGGCTGCCATATAACAAATAATGGGAAAAACCAAGTGGCGATGATGAGATTAGTACACGCTTCCTCCGGGGTGATAATTTGGTGACCTTTATCACCAGGCCACCATCTTCCAGGCGTGAATAGCGGCAGACTTTCTGATCTGGAGTATGCAGACGACAGTGTGCTTCTAAGTGAAAATCCAGGTAAAGAGCAAGCTTTTCGGGATAACTTCAGTGCCAGTGTAGCCATGTGTTCCGTTTGCGTTTTGCATCTTCAAAGTGTAAAACGTGGCTCTAAGATTGGGTTGGCTCAGTTCCCAACCTCATCCTCACTGGGGAAGTAATAGAGCAAGTGGAGAAATGTTTTTATTTTGGCAGCTCTATCTCGCCTGGTGGAAGTATTTTGGATGAAGCATGAGCTCGCATTCAGAACGCCCAATTGGCATTTGTCGACATGGGACATGCGTGGCGCAGTCGTGACAACCGGCTGTCTGTGAAGGGTCGAATACATGCGGCAGCAGTCCGATCGTTTCTGCGATATGGCAAAGCAAAATGGCGACTGCGAAAACAGGATAAATATCGATATTCGGTGTTCGAACATCGCTGACTACGCAGTCTTGCACCAGGGTGGTGTGGAAGCGAACGAGCAATGCTGAGGTTAGGTGTATAGTTTTAGGTAATCGCGGTCGTCTACTGGGGCAAGTGATCGACCTTCATAGATTACACTGGTCGGGACGTGTGCTGCACCTGTCAGCAAAAAGATTCCCAAGACGATCGACATTTACTAAGGCAAGAAGCGGTTGGAAAAGTCAAAGGCGGTCAACCTGAGGCCTGGCACCAGCTTATGAAAATCCTGGTCGCGGTACTTCGATATGTCGGTAGTGTGTTAAGGTTTTTGGATTGGGACCTCTCTCTTCAACATTTGGCCTGAAGCACAGTCCAACCTACGCACCCTTTGTTCTGTCACAAACGGACCCAAACTTTTCATTTGGAAGATACAATTTTGATTCATTATAAATGTGGTTGAAATGACTTGAACATAATGCAAACCGTGAACAAATCTGCAAATAGTAAACGCACGCTGCGAATCTACGGAACAAAGAGCACAGTACGTTGGACTGGAATAGATTAATCGCGGTTCCGTGTGTGGCCAAAGGACCATTGTTATCAGCGCAACGAATTTCAGTAAGCGATTTCAAGGATAAGTTTAGCTCCATTAGACAGATAGACTGACAGACAGAGAGTATTGTTTGTTTATGATAAAGCTTCCCGAATAGAAATAGGAAAAGATGGTCAAATTTTTCTAAGCGCCTTCACCGGACCGGATTATCGGTTCGATTTGGAACTTGAGAAGCAGTAGGCTCAAGCACTGCTCTGATTGGAACTGTTCAGTGACGCATTTCCTTTTACTCATACAGGGTTTGAAACCCACATCTACAGTAGAGGAGGTGCGTAAGTTACTCCTGTACAAACCAGATCAACCTGAAATTGTTTAGAATATCCGTTCCAAGTTTGCTATTATCTCTTTTTGGATGTGAGGTCATCCGGTTGCACACTGGAAAGTGAATATATATATATATATATATATATATATATATGTGGTGATCGTGCAACGAATACTCACGCACCGCGGTACAGCTTCCGGCTAACCAATCAAGAATAGAATAACCGACCAATCCTGTGATCCCGATTGGCATCAACCAGATTGGCCGAATACATGAAGGTATAATAATAAACCACACTGTCGCCGATTGGACGTCCAGGAACCGACCAATAACTGTTGGTCGCATGTGATATATATTTGCGTGCTTTTCTCAATAGAATCATCTGTATCCACAGCTCGTCTTGGTTTTACCTTGCGTTGCGTAATTCAGTGGGTTTTCAGTCCGAGTTCAAGTTCGCGCTGTTTAATTCCGGTTCCTATTCGATTATTACAATTTGGCGTC